GAGGGATTGCATTGGGAGTTATACCTGATGTAAATGACGAGTTGATGGGTGCTGACGAGTTGATGGGTGCAGCACACCAACATGGCACAAGTATATATATGTAACAAACCTGCACGTTATGCACATATACCCTAGAACTGAAAGTATAATAATAGTAAAGAAAAAAAAAAAACAACTCTATGTGTTCTTTGCATACATTTGCACATTCCAGTGCTATTAGAAAGAGGTCCTATGTGGATTGGTAACCCCCAAAATTCATTTTAATTAACCACAAATGGACCCTGAATGCAAACCAAAAATCCTATTGTCTAACTTGCTCTTCTTCCTTTTCAATGACTATTTCAGATTTTCTCCACGCTCCTCAAATCTCTAAACCTTTACCTTTCAGTCTTTCTCCTCCAAATGATCTCAATGCCTACTTCCCAGGGAACAAAAAAGCATCAGTGGGAATTCCTTCAACTTGCCATTTTCAAGCAAATGAAGCAACCCACTTGTGCACCCATCTTTCCCTCCTGTCCTCCTGACTTAGTAAAAAGGTATCTGGTTTTCCTCTCATCCAAGATCAATCCTTTCCACATTTTGTTTAGATCCTGTCTCTTCATGCCTACACTATTAACTACTCCTTTTTTCTTTTGCATATCCAAGCAGCTCCTATCTCAAATAAAATCACAGCTCCCTCTGGTTATCAGTCTATATTCTGCCTTTCTTCACAGCTAAACTTCTCTGAAGAGTTGCATATAGTCACTAACTCTATTTTCTCATTTACTATCCATTTCTTATTCCAATCTGGTCTGGCTTTGGAACGTCACAAAAACAGCACTCGAGTCCCATATTCTCGAGGTCAGTAAATTCAATGGACATTTTCTAGTCCTCATTTTACTTACCAGTGTTATTTGATACTTTAGACCACTTCTCCTTTTGGATACAATTGTTTCCTTTGAGTGCTGTGACACTTCCCACTCTCTCTTTCTTGTCATCCTATTCAGCTTAACTCTGACCAATCCCATGTTCTTTGCCACTGTCCTTTACCTGGCTCGTAACTGCTACATTTCCTTGGCCCTGTTTTAGTCTCACTTTATACATTCTCCCTGGTCAATCTCATCAATGGCTATGGCTTAAACATCCACACACATGATTACTCCCAAATACATCACCTCACCCCTAACTTCTCTGAGCTCCTGACACATATATTCAACTGCCTCCTAGACATCACTGGCATGTGTCAAAGGTACTCCAAATTCAACATGTCCAAAATTGAACTCATGATCCTTCCTCTAAACTCCTGACCTTTTTTCAAGGACTTCCAGTCTTAGTGAATGGGACCACTGTTGGTTATTTTAAGCAAGCCCAAGGTGTAGGTATCATCTTCGACACCTCCTTCTCTCTCACCAACCCATCACCATAACTGATAACTGTACCTTCAGAATATCTACAGCCTCCTAAATGGTCCCCCTGTATCGATTCTTGTTCTCTGTCAATCTGTTCTTCAATATACAGCTAGAGTGATCTTTGCAAAACAGAAATCCTCATATTAACTCCTTGCTTAAAACCTTTCCATGGCTCTTATCTTCAAAGCATAATGACAAAATTCCTTAACGTGGGCAAATCATTGCTTTACCCAACATTTGTATCCCTATCTAGCCTTATATTTCTTTCCTCTTTCCTAAGAAAAATAGCAAAAGTCTCAGAGTACTCCTTCTACTTTTCACTCTGTTGGAGGGAAAGCTTTGATAAGCCTGCAAACACAGCTATCTGTAAGGTCTAGGCACTCCACAGATTAAAACATTCTGGCCCAATGAAGGCCAGAATTCTGGAAGCTCAGGCCCCTTCCAGAAATCAAATACACCCATCTTCAGGCAGAGGATGAAGAAAACTAAAGGTATACCTAAATATTGTTTGCGGTATGCATTTATTAGGTAAAATAGGAAGAAATACAGTCATGTATTGCTTAATGACAGGGATACATTCTGAAAAATGTATCATTAGGCAATTTTGTCACACAAACATCAAAGGGTGCACTTACGCAAACCTAGGTGGTACAGCCTAGTACACACCAAGGCTATATGGAATAAACTATTACTCCTAGGCTACAAATCTGTACAGCACATTTCTGTACTGAATACTGTTGGCAACTGTAACACTACACTATGTATTTGTGTATCTAAACACATCTCAATGTAGAAAATGTACAGTGAAAATACAGTATTATTATCTTACGGGACCATCATCATATATTCAGTCCATCATTGACCAAAGTGTCATATGCAGAACATGACTATATATTATTACTAAAAACAAAGTATGGTCTAGTCCATAGAGAAGAGGAAATTTTGGCAGACCCTAAAACACCTGAGAAACAATAACATTTAAAGGCAACACAGAGAAGTAAAAAACCCATAAAACAGACTGAAAATGAGCAGATAGACAAGTATAAAGAAAGCCAGGTGAGTATTTCCTTAAAAGTCAAGGGGGAAAAAATGGAAATAAGTGGTCAAATAATAAAATATTGCAGAATGATGCAGTGAAATACAAATTATTTTATTTACAAATTAATTATTTTATAAAGATTAGCGACGGGGAGGTATCTGGTGACCTTGAAAGAGTCTTACCAATAGAAGGAAAGAGGTAGAATCCAGGTTGAGGAATGAATTAGAGGTAAGGAAGTCTAGGCTACTCTTTCAAGAATCCTGATAACTGTGAGAAGGCAATACAGAACCAAAGATGTTTCTGGGTTGTTTTGTTTAAGGTGTTTAAGCATGTAGCTTGTTTATGTGCTGACAGAAAAAGAGCCGGGAGAAAAAAAGACATCAGAGAACATATCTGATGGACCCCAATTTCCTGAGGAAATGGCAGAAGCAGAGCTCCAAAATGAGCTGGTGGGATTTACTTCAAAGGAGAGGAGGTACAGTTTTCCCCACACAAGCACCATAAATGGGGCTGAAAGCTTATAAAAGTGAGGACATAAAAGTGTTGGATGAGAAAGGAAGTTGTGGTAAAAAATAAAATCAAATCCTGGAAATGGTAGAATTTGAGTGAAGAAGGAAAGAAGACTTAAAAAATGGAAATATGTGAGGGAGTAATTAGATACTAGTAGGTAAGAGCAATAAAGGAGGTCACAACACAGTCAGAGGCACTGGGGACTTAGGAGAACCGTGATCATCCTGTAAGGTCTGTACCTCAAAAAAATGACATGATATGCATGAAAAAGTGATGGAAACTGTAAAGTGCTATAGACATATCAGATATTCTGACATTTCACTGGTATTAGTAATATTCCTGTTACTTTTATTATTATTATGAATAGTTAGATTATGTTCCCGTTGAAGAGCAAGCTTTGTATTTGAAGACACTGCTAACTGCTATGACTAATGAAGTGAGTAAAATACCCAACTTTATATTTTGAAAGTAGACACTAATATTTCAATATGTTTCACTTGTTTCCTTAATTTAATGCTATGAAAAATTTATTTCAATTTCCATAAACTAAAATATAAACCAACATGCCTAAATAGTAGTCTTGATAAATACCTTCTGTTTTCTCTGACTTCAAAGATTCAGTGAACGCTTTAACTGTTTTATATTCCAATTCCTTTTCTGCTATTTCAGTTGGTTGAGTCTCTAATGGTTTTATATCTTCGTGTTTTTTCTCCTCGTATTTTAAAAGTCTAAATGACAAAGAAAACAATTCTAAGAAAATAAAAGGAAAAATCACACCAACAAAATACTGAGCTATTAGCATATTACCTACAATTTCACATTTATAATTAAAATAGCTTCTTAGGTTTAATAAATACTATGATTAACATTCTCCATAACTGAAAGATTAAATATTTATTCTGACTTTACAATACAATATAATATCTATTCACTCAAATATTTTTGATAGGCACTTTGAAAAAGATCTGCAACATTTACATGGAGAGTCTAGTTAGATTTTAAATAGGTCTAACTGGTGTTAGGGCCTTGTGAATCTTGATCTCATTTTAGAAGATAAGAACTGTTACCCAATTAAACAGAGTGAAGTCAGAACACAATTTTCTGAAATTTCATATCCATATATTGCCTTCCTTTTTTTTCACAGGACATTGGCCAACTCTCTACTGTTGGAAAAACTTTTTCATAAGAACAGAATCCAAAATTACTGCCTACAATCGACTTATATTATACATCACAGTTTTATAAAGCAGAGAAAATTCTAGGTTCTGTAAAGTCTTATATGTACTGTTAAGGGAAAAAAAGTACTTTATCTATTGGTATATTAAAGAAAAATACTTAATCAAATCATTAAGAAGGTAATATTTCTTTTCTATGACAAAGAAAGCACAATGTCTTTGAACTTATTTATAGATCGCTTATTACGTATTATTCTTAAATCCTTTTCCTTTGAGCGTTTTGAGTTCCCACTTTGTTTATAAACATCTTGAAAATTTTCCTCTTCATTAAAATGTCTATCTATATCTGTTGTCCTCCCCACCTTTTTTTTTTTTTTTTGGTACTGAATTTTTTGCCATTTTGTAAACAATGTGTAGTAGTTATTTACACATTTTGAGCAGCAATCTTTTGTCACTTTATATCTCTCATTTGGAATTATCTTTTCACTTTCTTGATGTCTTTATAAACAGAAGTTACTAATTTTAATATAATTTATCTGCATTTTCCTTTACGGTTTGTATTGTTTATGACTTCTTAAGAAATCTTTCCTCAGTCCAAGGTAATGACAAAATGAGCTTATATGTTTTCCTAACATAAAGTTTTACCTTTTACAAGTCTTTTAATTAATACATAAGTCCTTAAATCCTTGACTTTTGGGTATATTGTAAGAGACAGGCTCCATTTCTTCCCCTGCCCCCAGCCAATAAGGATATACAATTGTCACAGCACCATTATTGAACATGCCCACTTAATCTTCACTAACCTATAACGCCAAGTCTATGTTCACTTAAAATGAATACAATGGTCTGTTCTTGGGTTCTTTATTCTTTATTTGTGTATCCTTGTTTCTACAGCACACTCCTTAATTATGATGGCTTTATAATAAGTTTTAAGAGTTGTAGGTCAAGATTATCAGATTTTCTTTTTAAGGAGTGTTTTACATATTCTTGACCCTTTGCTTTTCTATATAAATTTTGTTGAATTCTGAATTAAACTTTATAATTTTTTCATAAAGGGCATAATTACATCATTTAAAAAAATAGTATTTATTTGGGAGGCCGAGGTGGGTGGATCATGAGGTCAGGAGTTCAAGACCAGCCTGGCCAAAATAGTGAAACCCCTTCTCTACTAAAACTACAAAAAAAATCAGCCAGGTGTGGTGGTGGGTGCCTATAATCCTAGCTACTAGGGAGGCTGAGGTTGGAGAATCACTTGAACCTGGGAGGCGGAGGTTACAGTGAGCCAAGATCATGCCACTGCATTCCAGTCTAGGTGACAGAGCGAGACTCTGTCTCAAAAAACAAAAAAGTATTTATGTATCTAATGTACCTATTTTTCAATACTATTACAAATGATGCCTTTTGCTTTCCTAGGATTTCTCAGTTGTTGGTTAATTTCTCATATCCAACAACCTCCTTCTCACTGTTTTGGCATATCCAACGTTGTTCTGGGGGAAGGAGCCAACAACCAGTGTTAACTTGCCTATCTTGTTAGAAAATACTCCCTGAGAAACTAAGGTTTTTCTAAACTCTAGAATCATCAGTAAATTCTGATATATTTTAAGTCTTTCACTGTCAGAATGGCTTACCACCAGCCATACACTGCTGAAATCTTACTTTAGAAAAAACTCTCATTATATTTTATCTTATTTTTACCTTGGTTTTGTGTTAGTTTCCTCCTTGTCCATCTCTTGATTTTCAGTTGTCAAATCAATGGGTATAAATGTCTCCATATGTTTTTCTGAGTGAAACTACAAAGTAACTGGCTGTAAAGAAAATTCACATTATTATCTTTAATATACAATACAATCTGACAACTATGACTATTGGTATTCAAAATGGCATATATAGTTCCCAGCTTCTCAATAGGCTTAATATAATATCCTGACTGCCTTTGTTTCTTATATACAGTATAATTTCCAAACCCTTCACAAAGCTAGTTAGCTTTCTCAGGGCAATCTCTATATTGTCTAACTTCCTTTCTACGGCAATTTTTTTCCATCTTACATGCATTGGTTTATGTACATACAATTTTAGTTTACATTAAATAGCATGCTAAAGATAATGGTAAGTTTTAAGATTATTTTCTTAGGGGAAATTATCAAAAAGAACTTACGAAAGTCATCAGAAGTGGTAGCTGAAGTTGATGAACTAACTTCACCATTCACTAAGCACTAAAAGGCCACATCCATATATTACCAGCATTCTTCAGATAGAATAGAACAAAAGGGAGTCGGTAATGAAATATAAAAAGGTGAGTTTCTTTCTGATTACTGAGGGAAATCTAACAAGATACAGAAAGTCTTTAAATAAAGTTGATGTGCTACATGGCCATGCACCATAACTGAAGAATTAAAGGTAAAAATTTAAGACTGGAAAAAAATTCAACAGCCCTTCATGCTAAAAACTCTCAATAAATTTGGTATTGATGGAACGTATCTCAAAATCATAAGAGCTATTTATGACAAACCCACAGCCAATATCATACTGAATGGG